AAAGAAGGAATCAAGAATGTTCCGATTTAGGAAGTTATATCTGACTCGGGCTGCAGGTAGAATGAGATATAACTGTTATATCAATAGGGATCAGTTCACAATATAGACACACAGGGCATTCAATAGTCCCGTTTATTTAATATAAAGTAAATAAAAACCTTTATACATTACCAAGAGTCTAGGATGGAGGAATTCAATTTGGGATTCTCCTCTCTGGGTGCTCTGGTCTGTAACTCAGTCTATTGCCCTTAGTCAGTCAATCTCCTCCTTTCTTAGCCCTCTGTTTTCTCCTTTGATCTTTTTTAGGAAGATCTGAAGATATTGTCTTCCTTCTCTTATTTTTCTCCCTATTTAACCATTATTTCCCCCTTATCAGTTCCTGCCCCTTGTTTGTAAATGGGCGGTACCTGGGACTTAAATCTGGCTTTTGATTGGTTATGGGCGTATCGTAATATTTATTTATTAATGTGGCCCTTAGGGACTTTCATCAATAGATGGCACTATTTCCTGAGGTATGAAGACCTGAATTAGATCATTGATGACCTGGTTAAATGAATTGACCTTTAATTCACATATACTGGGGATATTTAAATTACGTTAAATATCTGTCTTTAGTTATGTATATTCTTCAATTGAAACAGGGTTGGTTATATTAATCATCATGCAATATGTCTATATCCATCTAACCTGTATGAATAACTGATTACAAAGAAAAATAGAATATTATATTAGTATATCTGTATTACCTTTTACCCCTAAATCCGTCAAGGATGCAATTTTAGACATTACTGTAGCAATCACACATTTAGTTTACATTTGTATATCATGCATGATTCCAATAGATTCATTTAAGTTCTAATATCCTGAAAATATGGAAGAGACTTCTGACTTTGGGTTCGTTTGGCTGACAAACACTCTGGATTGCCTGTGATGTTGTTTATGCACAAACAATTGCATAGTTTGTATACCCCTTTGAAGCTCTGTGAGTTTAAGTATCTCGGATTGTAAAGTCCCATTGAGTAATAAACCATTGTTTTCGTTACCCTTGTACACCTATAGCTCACAAATTAAACTGTAGTTAAGTATTCCTCCTGTTTACTACTTAAGGTTACAAAATACAAATTTCTTTGACCAGTGTTGAAACAGCATTACGTAATGTCCAGGCCAAGCTCACCAGCATCCATATTGTTTTTCTCTTACTATTAAAAATTATTGGGCACCAAATAGCACAACAAATGTAACCTTGTGACTTCCATACACTTTCGGCAGGTTCTGATCCGCTTTCACTTCCAAAGAAATGTCATAGTTATCCCAAAATCTGTGACCCCTACACGCATTGAGGAAAACTTCCAGGTAAAACCTAATCCTTCAAGTTGGTGAATGGTATTCATGAGATAATGCATGAATTGTATATTTATTTGATGGTTTCTGTCTGGAATCTGTGTATCACAAATCCATTGCTCATCTTGATGATGTTAGCTAATCCCTAATCTATTGTGTGTCATTAAATGGACTTTGTCATAATATATATGATATATATCTTGATGAAAGGGACATTTTCGTATACATGTTTGCAGATGGTCCCCTTGGTAAACCACTAGTCTCCACTGTTCATAATAAACCAAAAACAGCACAGTCAACCTAGAAAAAAAAATGGGTATTTATTGGTAGTCTTGGCAGTCCTGTTGTTTGTAAGTTTTCTGTCCAAATTAACAATGTACAGGTTTATCTTTATGACGTATGGCTAAGCCCAAACACAGACCCTGTTTATTATACCACAATGTCCTAAGTTTGAATGTAAAATGTTTTGACAGGATAACTTTTTTTCGCTCAGGTGTTTGACTTTGAACTGTCCCCGGAAGAAATGGAGACTATCTTTGGCTTTGATAGAGGCTGGAGAGCCTGCGAATGGTCTTTGTAAGTCTCAGCCTTTATGTCCCTTAATTTATGATTTGTTAAGAACTTTATTAGAAACAATAACTAAAAAAGGTGTAGAAAATACTGAACTATACAAAAGAATAGCCCTCCATTGTATAATACATCAATACTGAAATACAATTAGTGCTGTTCAAAACCTTGCCAGAATGTGTAAAAGCTTAATGGACCCAGGCCCCTTCATTTCAATGCAGTGGTCTAGGTGCAGTGTCCCTCTCCTTTTTATCCTGCATTGTAAAACATTGTAGGGTTAAACACAGCAAGACAGCCACTAAAGAGACACTTCCTGTACACTAACCAGGTAAGAAGTTGCAGCGCATGGGAGAGCATAGAATTCAATGCTTATCTGTGAGAACCATTGGATGTGTAAGTTGTTCTTCCTGCACATGTGTAAACAGGAGCATTAGATTGGACACGCGATAGAGGAAACAAGGCCACCTCGATTACGTTACGGGAGGCGGAGAGGTGGCAGCGCCGAGAGCGCTGGAGAAAAATTAAACTTAAAAAAAAAAAATTAAAAAATTAATGGCTATAGTGTTCCTTTAATGGTTACAACTATCTGGTCTTAGAGCGTTTTTTTTTAAATCATTGTTTGCTACTGTACTGTAGAGACCTTACAACTATTAAAGACACAGTAGTCACCAAAACAACTTTTAGCTTAATGAAGCAGTTTTGGTCCATAGATGTCCCTGCAGTCTCACCGCCCATTTCTCTGTTTAAGTTAGATTGTCTTATCCTCTATGTGAATAGCTTGCTAGACCCTGCAAGACCCCTTTTCTGTGATTATAGTTCAATTTACAGAGAAAGATATACAATTTTTTAAGTTAAATAACATCTGATCTAAAGTGAAACCAGTTTTTTTTTTTTTTTTTATGCAGGCTGTATCAAGCAGAGTCAGGGGAGGTGTGACAATATCTGCATAAACAGAAACAAAATTATTTAACTCCTAAATGGCAGTGAAACCTGAGAAGCATGATCTATACATTAAAACTGCTTCATTAAGCTAAAGTTGTTTAGGTGACTAATGTTCCTTTAAACTCTTTGAGCTTACACATTGTCACAAAAAATGCTCTTAACACCATCAGCATTGTTCCAGTATAAAATCATTTCCAGGACAATTTAAAAATGAGGAATATTAGGTTACCCAAGCTGAATTAGATTAAAAAAAAATCCACAAAAGACCATTTAGCAAATTGTCTATAAAACCTACTGTGGGTTTTATAGACAATTTGCTAAACGGTATTTTGTGGATTATGTATTATGTCTCTTCAGTAATGTGATTCTTATACTAGACAAAGGCAAAAGTAAAAAAATCAACATGTATTACGAACAATTGTGAGGTTATTTATGGGGATTAATTATTATTAATTTTCATTAAATATTTTCATAAAAATTGTTAAAATTAAATATCAGGGGTTGATATTGGAGCTTATTCCCAATTACTATTTAAATCGAAGAGTCAACACTGTTTACTCATTATTTTAACTCTTTAGACCTGTAGTACGTTGTTCAAATTTAATATTTCATACATTAATATCACAACCTTTTATTAAAAAAATATTTATTTTTGTTAATAAGTGTAATTATACATGGTAATTAGTGAATAGTTTTTCAATAATATTGAATAAGAGATGGCAAAGTACAGTATCACAATCTCAGTAACAATTTCAAACTCTTTAGAGTGATAGGATTGTTAGTTCATGACAAATTCAATCAATTGGGTTAGTATGTGGAATATTTTCTTCATACACCATTGATTGAGACAATCCACAAATGGCATGTTACTATTTGTTAAATTATAAGGAACCATGTGAGTTTATCAGCATATAGATTATTATAATTAAAAGATAGCATTTTAAAATACAATCTTAGCTTTTTACTTCTTAGTACAATTTACAAACACATGTGGATTGTTTGCTTATTGTAAATACCATTCATTAGAGTCCGCTGGACAGAGTTCGTTATTTACTCAGATGATCTATACACAAAGTTCTACGACAATGTCGTATTAGCTAGCACAGAAGTTTAACCAGCTCAGTGCTGTTTCAGAGTAATTAATTCATCCAGTAACTAAATTCTTGCAGGTTTAGTTAAAACAGTTCTTATCTGATAAATATTTTCTAGATTGGTATAGATTTAATATTCCCCTGGGTAACTGTTGATATTCTAATTTTTATTTCATGATTTTGATTAATATTCCAGTCTGTAGTTTTAGATCTCAATCTCTTTCATGAGCCATCATGAAACCCAATCTGACGGATTTCGTATCAGCTTTTACCCAGAAAATATTAGCTTGTAGTTATGTAATTTTATAGTTGGTATAATTGGCTTATATTTACCGATAGATGTTCTGGATGTTATTTTTAAGATTGTTTCAAGATGTCTTCTAGTCTGTGTCTTGTCTCCTATCTCCTTTCTCCTTCTGTGTGTCTCTCTGTTTATGTGTGGTGTTTTTTTTTGTTTTTTTTTCTGTGTGTGTATATCATGGGGTTATGTCATTCCTTATCTGTTAACCTTCTGACTTGGTCCAATGACATTTTCGGGCAAGTCATTATGTTAATGGTTGTTGACGTGATTTTGATATAATATTTCTATATGTCTTAAACAGCAGGTGGAGCTGTTGGCTTACGTCAGGAGTATTACCAGCTATTGTTATAGAGGGTTAAACCCTGTTCAGGACAATTTAGGAATGTTTAATTTTAAGATGTTTTGGTCAGCATTTCTTCTTTTTTCTCAATGTAGACTTTGGTCTCACACAATAAATCACTGGGTCCTTGCTCACCTAAGCGTTATGGCAATTTCAGGATATTTAAGCTAACTTAATTTATCTCATTGTTAGATAGATAGAGATATAGATGTGTGTGTGTGTGTGTGTATGTATATATATATGTATATATATATATATATATATGTTATATATATATATATATATATATATATATATATATATATATATATATATAATTAAACTTAATTTATATACCTCATAGCAATATGTGTGTTTGCTGAACACGTACTTTTAATTAACACATACTTGTCTTATCTGTGTTCTTATCTTTTATTAACACATGTATTTACTCACTTTCTGGCTCTTTTAGCTGACAGGGTCATACTTTGAGAAAAACGTCTTGTTTCTTAATTTTAGCACCTCATGGCATATTAGCTAAATTGCTTTTTAGCTTTTATGCATGTATTTTTATCACGCACAAAAATTAACAGAAAACAATAATGCTTACTATAAAGTAGCATTATTTCAGTATTTCTGTCCCAAGAGAGCGTTTGGTAAGGAAATAATTATCTACTGCAAAATTGATTTTGGATCTCAAAATGGATTAGAAAGATTGTCAGATAAACCCCTGCTCACACCAGGGAGGCCCAGGTATCAAACCTCTGTCAGATGGGGCCATATTTGGTATCTGTTAGGTTGCCTCCAGGCTGGCTGGAAGTTGGACCATAGAAAGGATGCTCCTAGCACTGACCAAAGGACCATCAGCACCGTAAACACTATAAGCACTGCAGACTCCACAAACCGCTGCTTCTGGGCTGGGATCTCGCCATCTGCTATCCACCCTGGACCTACGACCAGGCTCCAGGTTCCAGTAGGTGAACCTCTTCCTTCTGTAGAGCGAAGCAGGATCAGGAACAAGAGCTCAGTAGGTAAGGGAGTATGAAGAGAATTGCAATCCCTGTAGTGATTATAGCTGTCCCCTACAAACATGAGTCGAGGCTGCAAGTTAGAGGGTCAAGTAGTTGTCTTTAATTGGCACCAAAGGGCCTTCTTTTATGGAGGTCTTACACATACAGGACCGCCCACAGGGTTTTGCAGAACAACCAATAAACACTTAACATACAGTAAAAAAAAAAATCCATCAATAGCACACAAATCCTCCCTCTGCCTGTGATATAATTACTGAACACAATGGGTTAAAGTAATTATCACAGGCAGGAAAAATACACTTTTTATACATACACTGTAACTTTAAAAATGTATGTCCAATCTTCATAAAAAGTACACATTCAGAATCAGCATACTTTAAATATAAACATAACCAAAGATCACACAAATCCCTGCAGTGGATAAAAAGTTAGACGGAAGTCCTTTATGACCGACCGCAAGCACATTTTCCTGCCCATAACAGTTCCATAGATTTGGGATGTGCGGTCGGTCTATTTCAGGCAGAAAAATGACTAAGTCACATTCGAATGCACGAACGAGGCCGTTCTTGCATTTGGCTCAGTGTAACAGTGAGTTCAAACTGCCCAACGGGACTTAATCTCTGCGGCTTCAAAACTTAGTGTAGGAGAAGGTAAGGGTCAGCGGTGTTCGTTGAAATGTGTAGCCGATTTCAGTTTCATGAATTTGGCTACACATAGTGCTGACCTCGTTCGAATGAACAAAGATGGCCGCCACCACGTGTTCGTTTGCACGAACTGCGGCCACCCAGCGGTCGGCAATTTACCTACAGCATGCTCCCAGCCTGGGAGGTAAATTGCCTACACACTTCCACTTCTGGGTGATACCTCTGTGTGGTACTTGGTTCAGTAAGTGTAAAGAAGCCATGAATAAAGTATTTTAACCAAGTCTGGGGACTAAGCTAGTCAACGATTTTTTCTGGCGGGTTCATTGGTGTGCTCCCCAAGCCTGGCGTGCAGTGTGGTAGATCGGGTAAGTTGTCATTGGGTTACTCCGCACAATACTCTTAGCCCGACTGCACTGGCCAGACTGGTTTAAGAGCTCCTTGTCCTCTTGCCGTTTCTCACTTGGTTTTATTTTTTAGTTCTTTTCCAGCATCATTTATTTTTTTTTTTTTTAAATGCATTAATTCCAGTTGAGGGGCTCCTCACTGGATTGTTATTCTACCATTTATGGGAATCCTTTCCCTCCTGTTTTTATATATAGGTTTATATGTTTAATGTTCTTTTATTGCTATTTCATGGCTATGTCTATTTATGTTTTTGCTTAGGAGGCTACTGAGCGGTCCCATAGCTAGTTTTATATACGTGTAGCTGCTATTGGGGAGACCACCCGGTAGTAGTGTTACTTTCTGATTGACATTTAGCTACATTTTTGTATATTGTTATGTACTGTATAAATTAAAAGTAATTTATCTCACCTAAGACCTTGAATAGTGTTATTTGTGAATTTAGAATATTGGGGTGTATATATATATATATATATATATATATATATATATATATATATATAATTAACCCTTTCAATGCTGGAGTGGTTAATTATATCTTGTTTATTTATGTAATAGGAGCGCTCACACTACCATATTCTTGAATTTTACTTCTATCAGTCGCTCAAATTAGTTGTGAAGCAGCCCACTTTATGACAAATAATATTTTAAAATATTCAGACATTTTATTTTCTTCTGTTTTTCAGCTGGTTTATATATTCTTTATGTCAGTGTAAGGTTAATTCTGCTTTAGGGTGTGAGATAGTGTAGGGTTAGAGTAGCTATACAGTTAGTGTAAACATGGGGTTAGGGATAGGGTTGGTATAGAGTTAAAGGAACACTATAGGGTCAGGAACACAAATATGGATTCCTGACCCTATAGTGTTAAACTAACTTTTAAGACCACCTTCCCCTGCTTAAAGCTAGTAAAAACTCACTTTACTTGGCGTGCCGCATTGGTCTGCCAGCGCTGGCTCCACATCTGATCCGCCTCCTGGGCTGACATCATCAGAATTGATACTATCCACAGGAAAGTATTGGAATGGCTGAGATGGAGGTGTCTCTAGGCTGTAATGTAAACACTGCCCTTTTTTCTGAAACAACTGTGTTGTAAAAGTCTGAAGAGACATATTATACTGAACAGAACCTCTAAAGTATGCTGTAGTTGTTCTGGTGACTATAGTGTTCCTTTAACTACTAAAAAATAATTTAGATCCTAGACATGTAACGCACTTACAATCAGGGCATGAGTTTGAGTTACATGAGTCTATTTTGAGGTTGTTGGGTTTTTTTTAGTAGCACTTGAGGTCTAAAATTTTTGTTGTGGTGGTTTTTTTTAATTTATTTTTTTATGACATTTTCAACATTTATTCATACTTAATATTGTGTTAGGTATGCATATAGAATATTAATATGAGGTTATTTTTGGCCTTCAAAAAAACAATATAATCTATTGGAGACAGTTAAAGACAGACCCTTAAACTATGGTGGATCAAACTCAGCTCAAATTCTAAGTTTTTGTTTTGATTCAGATGTTTGAGAATTGCCTCCAAATGATCAATAAAAATATAGCACATGACAGGCTGAATAAACTTCAATTTCACTTACATATTGCCGTGTACTGAAGACTTAATTTTTTTTTATTGATAATTAAGTCTTCAGGAACCTAGCCTGTGACATAGGCTCCTAAATACAGGATTCATTTGGAGTGCTCCTTGCAACACTATTTTTGGACAATTGTCTCTGTCATTAAGGGCTTAAAGGACCACTCTAGGCACCAAGACCACTTCAGCTTAATGAAATGGTCTGGGTGCCAGGTCCAGCTAGGGTTAACCCATTTTTTCATAAACATAGTAGTTTCAGAGAAACTGCTATGTTTATTAATGGGTTAAGCCTTCCCCCTAATCCTCTAGTGGCTGTCTCATTGACAGCCACTAGAGGCGCTTGCGTGCTTCTCACTGTGATTTTCACAGTGAGAGCACGCCAGCGTCCATAGGAAAGCATTATGAATGCTTTCCTATGTGACCGGCTGAATGCGCGCGCAGCTCTTGCCGCTTGGGCGCATTCAGCCGACGGGGCGGAATGGAGGAGGAGAGAAGGAGGAGAGCTCTTCGCCCAGCGCTGGAAAAAGGTAAGTTTAAACCCCTTTCCCCCTTCCAGAGCCGGGCGGGAGGGGGACCCTGAGGGTGGGGGCACCCTCAGGGCCCTTCGTGTGCCAGGAAAACAAGTGTTTTCCTGGTACTATAGTGGTCCTTTAATATGAGACCAAACATGGTATACTTATACATAATGCCCCAAAAATAAAATTGTGTCTAAAAACACTTCCCAAACTTTGAGTGAATGACTGGTCATTGAACCTTTGGTTGTACATTGCAAGTGTTGTGTTGTTTCTTAAGTTCCCTGTGGCAGGTTGGGGTCCTGTCTGATAATTCCACAGTAATACAAAAAAGAAACAAACATCCAACTTTAGAACCAGATACCAGTTCTAAATTCCTCAAAATCACTGAGATTGCAAATAACAAAATAAAATGTCTTTGCTGTCCATTTCAGGGGATTTTAAGAAGTCACCAGCAAGATTTTAACCCATCACTTCTCAGATGCACTTTACCTCATGAGTTTATCATGACACACATACTGGGAAGGTTTTATCCAGCATGAATTCTATTTCAGTACTGATTTAGATAAATTAGAGCACAGCAAAATTACATTTCCCAAGGAACAGCAATGTATTGGGCTGCTGATATGCGGAGTGTGCATATATTTTCACTTGTTGCGTAAGGCAACATAGTGCTAGAAAATACATAATTTGACAATGGAAAACCGTTTTAAAATGCTTTAACCTCTTACAATGGGAGGTAACAAACAACTCCTAGCATCATAACCACTACAGCACGCTTTAGTGGTTATGGCGCTGTAAGTGTTAATTTAACACACAGGCATATATCATTTATTACTTCCAATGTGTGGTTTAGCTTTACAGCAAAGCCTCTACCATCCATCTCTTATGTACTGCTTCCCCTTGGTCACACTAATTGTATCTTTTTCTTTCCACAGTGCAAAGAAGCACAAGGATTATCCATTCAATGCAGAATATTAAGCCAAATCTACGGTTATTCGGCTAAAAGAGATTCATGCTTTTGTATTAGTTTTTGATAGTATATGTTTTTCAATACTTCGGAAAATCTTTACGTATGGCTGGACTAAATACTGTTTTAAAAATAAATGAACAAATAAAATCTAGAATTCATAATTATAAAAAAATTATATTAACAGGTAATATTTAGTTTGGATTAGATTATAGCACATTTGGCCATTTTTTTTTTGTACTGTTGACTCTAATGTCCCAGCTTTGTTTTAAGGAAAGGTAGAAAATTGTAGTGATTTGAAGGAAAACATTTCTAAAATATTGAACACTATGTTGTGACTATACCCCTGAGTCTCATGATTCCTCTGAACCGTTAGGGCTTGTAACCTTTTTCCATATGTTACAATAAAGTACAAGGAAAGTGTTTCCATTGTATTCCATTTTTAAAGAAATATTAATGACACATTTATTCCAATGTCTTTTTCAATAATTGGTTTTTTTTTGGCGCTAATGAAAGTATACAGGCATGTCAAGATATTTCAGCCAGAGTATTCACAATATAAAGCATTACAGAATGTTGTAAGAAACGCTAAAAATACTGCACCTTTTATAAAATAACATAGACAATTATAGATCAATTTTGTGAAAACAAACGACAAAGAAAAGGAAGCACTTATATGCACTTGGAGTAAACTGCACTGCTTATAAGTAGAATTGTAGAACAGAGCTAAGGATGATTTATAAGAGCAGATACCATTGGTTAAGCAGCATAGACTATTACAGCCATATAGTTAGATCATAATAAAACCTGAGAAAGGAACTGGGGCTCAAAAACACTCAGCCGATGCCAAGTGGGGGTGAGTGCCAGAAGCTGCCACCATCAGACATCCCAAGAAGGCTCTTCCACCCAATCCTAGTCATCAGCCAGTCTGGTAACACATATCCCATGATGGTAACCGAGGCTCTTTCCTGTGGCCCCTTAAGGATTTATGCCCAGTAGCATGATTATATAGGCCACGGGGTTGGAAATGCCGTGCCCTGGATGGAATGACTTGCATCTTCATAGGCAAGCTGAGTAGTGACAATCATGGAGGTCAGAGCGGTGTGGGATAATCACCCGTCAACAGGGCCAGATTAAGAGCCCTGTGGGCCTGGTGCTGACAATTATGACGGGCCTAATTACAGAATCATATCGACCAAAAACAGTAAAACACTCCCAAGCGTCATGTATCTGATGGAGATGGTCCTGGAGAGAAAGAAAACAGCAGCTATAAGAAAACACATACCCTATGCTAATATCTCTCTAATTTATGTTTTAATCTTCCAAGTAAATCCATAACCCCTAACAGCAGTGTCCAGTCAAGCAGGAAGTCAATGGGCACGGTAAAAGGGTGTGCCACTGACACAAATCACGTAACCTGCAAAAGGGGCGAACATGCCAAAAAAGAAGACATGTCTGCCTAAAGAAATAGAAGGCCAGCCTGGCATGAATGCATGTCAGTCTGCCTGCCAATCATGCAGCTGGCCAACTAAGCGCATACTATGCAGACAGCACCCTGAGCTTGGCATAAATGCATCTAATGATGCGCTCACTCAACGCTTTCTAAGGACTGTCCCCTAGCACTCGCTGGTCCACTTGTCTCCTTACCTTCTTACTAGCAGGCAGAAGCTCCTGGTATATAGTCTGGGACAGAGAAAAGCTGTATGTAGTGAGTGTAGAAGAAAGGGAACATGCCACAGTGTTAGAGAGACCAAAGTCAGCATTATCTTAAAGGATCACTATAGGGTCAGGAACAAAAACATGAATTCATGACCCTACAGTGTTAACACCACCATCTAGCCCCCCTGGGCCACTCATGCCTCCATAAATATAACAAAATCTTACTATATTCAAGCCTGAAGCTGTAACTCTGCATGCTATTAGACTCATAAAAACAAGCAGTCTGCTGACATCATTAGAAGTGGTGGCCTGATCCAATCACAGTGCTTCCCCATAGGATTGGCTGAGACTGACAAAACGGCAGATCAGGGGCAGAGCCAGCAGGATTCAAACACAGCCCTGGCCAATCAGCATCTCCTCATAGAGATGAATTGAATTAATGAATCTCTATGAGGAAAGTTCAGTGTCTGCATGCAGAGGGAGGAGACACTGAATGTTTGGATGCATTTTAGGCAGCCATGACCCAGGAAGGATCTCTAACAGCCATCTAAGGAGTGGCCAGTGAAGTTATCACTAGGCTGTAATGTAAAGACTGCATTTTCTCTGAAAAGACAGTGTTACAGCAAAAAGCCTGATGGTAATGATTCTACTCACCAGAACAAATTCAATAAGCTGTAGTTGTTCTGGTGACTATAGTGTCCCTTTAACTATATTCATTGTCAGCCAGTCCACACAAGTTTTGTTTCCATACATCCCTCTTAAGTTTCCATACTTAAGTAAGAGTATGTGAAAAGTAGTTAGGGTTGCCACCTTTCTTGGAAAAACATACCGGCCTTACTAATTTGCATAATTAAATATGTATGGATGACATCACATGATGTAAATCATAAGGAGTGACATAAGAGAAAATTCTGTAAAATCACCAAAAAACTACTTAGCTTGATTCTGCTGTATAGATGGATTCCTCCCAGTGCCCTCATGACTCAGTGCCCCCATGTGTCGATTACTCCAGGTCTCAGTGTTCCTATGTATCAGTGTCTCAGTGCCCCATGTCTCCCCATGTATCCCAGGGTCCCCATGTCACTAGGACACTAGGAAAACGGGGAGACCTGGGGACACGGGGAGACCTGGGGACACAGAGACACCAGTGACACTGGGAGACTAGGGGGCTCTGGCTGGGACACATGGGGACAATGGGAAAATAGGGGACACTTGAAGACATGGGGACACAGACACTAGAGACACTGGTTGAGGGACATGGGGACATTGAGACATGGGGGCACTGGGAGACATGGGGACACTGAGACACCAGGGCCACAGACACTAGGGACACTAGCTTGGAGACATGGGGACATTGTGACACTTGAGGCACTGAGAGACATGGAGACACTAGGAGACATGGGGACAGTGAGACACTGGCAGACTGGGGCACTGGGAGACTAGGGGGCACTGAGACACAAGGGACACTGGCTGGGAGACATGGGGACACTGTCCCCATGTGTCTGTGTCATAATGTCTCCCAATGTCCCTTAGTGTCTCAGTGTATGTCTCCTTGCAGCCTTTCCCCCATCCCTTACGTCTGAGCTGTAGGCTGTCTCTGCAGGGTGGGAGTTGTTGTCTGGACTCTCTGTAGCTGCACCCCTGCAGATCAGTAAGTATAGAGAGGCAGGGAGGGATATGCTGGAACGTCCTATCCCTGCCTGTCTCCACACACACAGTGACCCCTACTGGCCAGTGCTGGTATTGCAGAGTAATCTCTTGTTTATACTGAGAAAAAAAAACGCATTTGTATTGCCAGTATCACTGCAATATTGGCACCAGCCAGGCAGCCTCAAATACTGGCTGTGCCAATAAAATAAAAGCCATGTGGAATCCCTAAGAGTAGTGTGTGAAAAAAAAAAGTGTTAAAAAAAAAAAAAAAAATGGGCCTATTCCATGGGCCTGGGCCTGGAGCTGCAGCTCCATCAGCCCCTATGTTAATCCGGCCCTGCCCGTCAAAGCAGTTTAATTCACCTTCTCTTCCACAGTGAAACAATGGGGAGACACTGGAGTCGCTGGATCACGCAATGTAGACCAGTAGGACAGCTCCAGGGGGTCGCTGCTCGGCCAGTAGGAGTGGAGATGAGCCTCCAGTTAGAAAACTTTGCCCAGAATTGCTTGCAAACATGATCGAAAGCCATAAGGAACCTTTCCACAAGATTAGTTGGGCGCTGATGAACGCCTGAGACTGTAGACGCCAGCAGGGTAGCCATTTTGATTACCAGGCCTTGACCCTCTAAATAGCCATGCAGCTTGCAATGTCAGCTAGTTGACCACTATAATATGCCAGTGGGGACTGGAATATCCCCCACTGGTCCAAATGGAGGGGAACAGGGCTCTAAGGTGTTGGGGAAAATATTATGTATATATCTGTTTAATATGTGCTTGATTAAGTCTGTGTGTATGGGAGGTCAGGAATTATCTTCAAAGGGAGTTTCTGTTTAGATAGTTGGAAAGATACAATACCTGAAAGGCACCAATCACATTTACAGATCAACTGGTCTTCAAAGGAGTCCCTATCTAGGAAAACACACCTTGGGTTAGAGGCAAAGGGATGGCTGGGAGAGTTAACACTTAAATAAAATAACAGGATAGACAACACTTTGGGCCTTGGGAAAGTAAATCACATTTACATATCAATTGAGCTGAGGAATTTGCTATTTACAACATGGGAACCAATTCCTTTAAAAATAGATACTGACATCACATTAGATTAGGGTTTGGTAAGACACACATGCTGCACATAACATTGCACAGCACATACACAATGTAGCAGATATTATTATACACAATGTAGCAGATAGTATTAGATAGATGGAATGTATGAGTGTTATGAATGAATTTTAACTATAACTCTGTAACATTCTTCTTCTGTAATATTGAATTGGGCAGATTCTAAGTAAAGATTTTATTTGTAATATCAGGTAGAATACCTTAGTAGTGCTAGTCATATATTTATCTGGGCAAGGGGATAAAGATATATGTTAGTTCTTGGAAGAGGTGACACAGGGATATTACATTCACTATTAAAACACAACGCAGAGTGGATTTCTCTCAAAAGGATACCAATTGGAAGTATTGGTGGTGAGAGAAGGATTATACAACATAAGGTAGGTAGCTCTAGGTCAAGGATGAGACTCTGCTATATCTCCGACCGGCACTGCAGTTCTCAAGCCTGTCTTACACGAGCCGTTTCCACCGGCCGCAGACATAAAAATCATGATTGAGTAGCAAAGTGCTCCCCGGGGGTATGAGCAACGATTTAGCCCAAGAAATTAGCAGTAAATCCAAATGGCATGCACACCAAGGCCTCCAATAAACCTGTGTTAAATTGCGCGAGAGTCAATATTTCGTGCCAGTGATGTGCTGCTCCCAGAAGTGACACGATACTGAAAGGAAGTGAATACAGCCAGTGACAGAGTTTACAAAAGCCATGTAGCTTGACAATCTGAAGTTGAAAGGTTGAGAAAAAAGTGACACAGCTGAGTAACATATGAAAAAACATGTGAGCAGCAAGCAAAAACTAAACCTATAAAACCTGATTAAGTTTATCTATTTCTCCAATGCAGTGCTGTCCTTGGAATGAATTATATTGTGATGTAATTTGCTAAATGTTTAAAATACATTTTAATAAAATAAATTACATGAAGAAAAGATTAACCAAATGGTGTCTGAAGGTCCTGGGTGCCATCTTACCTTTTAATCCAAAAAACGACTTTCAAACA